GCCATGCCGTGACTACTGACAGCGCAGGACAGTTAAATTATGTGTTTCCCGTTTGTTAGAACTTTTGCTTCGAAAATTGCGGCGCAAACTTTTGCATATTAAAATTTAGAAAGTACTGTGTAATATTTACCAGAGTTTGCAGGTTTGCCGTGAAGAAAGGTGCTTCTCTGCAACTACCGCACCGTTTGGAACGAAAGAGATCTCCTTGGAAAACATTTTTAAAACGCTGGGCAAGAAATTTATCTTGTACGTGTTTATCCCAAGTTTACTTCGAAAATACGTTTTGTCGCCATTCCAATAAAATAACATAATAATACAAAAAGTCTTGTCATATCTCCGCATCTTTGACTGATTCACCTGAGGAGCCATTGCTGCTGACAAGAATTGGGTTCCAACCCGCTCTAACCACTGTTTCTCGAAAAGTACTGAAGGGACTGGAGCTAAAAAGATCTCTTTGGAAAGGTCTTTCGAAGCGCCAGACAGTTAGAATTTTTATTTTCCTTTCCTTACGAATTACGGTCCGAAAATCCAGGCGCAATTTTTTGCATATTTGATTAACTATTAAAATTAAACCTTCGATGTTATTTAAACGTCATTTATCACTTCTACGCCATTTAAGGTTACACAAGACCTTAAGAGTGCTACTTTTGTGATATCAAATCTGACATTTCCCAGAAAATGGGAGTAAAATCCTAAAACGCGCGGGATCCATTAAGAAAAGAAGGCTTTTTAATGAAAGTTAATAACACAGTTAGGAGTTATAATCCTCATAGCGCGTCGACTTTTTGCGCGAAATGTCCTCCTCTGGTGACTCTTATTACACAATACCGTAAAAAAAATATGTTCTGTATGTCTCTTTTCCGCCAATAGTTTTAAGTATTTGAATTCTTCGTTCTACATTGAAATTATTGAATATTCTTACTCTGTTTAAGGGAGATAGCGGAGGACCTTTTGCTTGTGAAGAGAAGGCAAGTGGGTTTTGCGAGGTGTAGTCAATTGGGGAACAGGATGGTGTCTCAAAGATTACTACACTGTGTTTGCTCATGTCTCCAACTTTGTGAAGTGGATAGAGACAAACAAGACGTTCTGATTGATGAAAGATTAAATCAAAGGTATGTTAATAAGACTCTATCTTGACACGTGGCAGATGCCTAATCACCCGAGTGACAGATAGTTCAACTAACAGGTGATCCACGACGATTAAAAGCTGCGACTTAACTTTAGTCTTACATGTAGAGTAGTGAATAATTTTTTACTTACGAACATTACCAAACAAGCCAAAATCGTGAAAAATGAGGTATCTTGTCGCATAGGCGGAATTTTAGATTCTCGCCTAATCCTTATGCTAGAGAGTCAACAATTTCTGCTAGCTTGGGCGTTTTTTATACACTTGGCCGCTAAGAACTGCGCCCTTGGATGAACTTTTAAGTCAGTTTGATTACACGAGATTTCTTTTTAAGTTATATTTTGATTGGCGTTTGGTTGAATATTTTTTTTGTTTTTTTTTGTTTTTTTTTTTTTAACTTAACGCGGTAAGCTTGTTCAAAACTTACATCGAATTTTCATAACTGTGCCTGGTTGTTGAATAGCTTTCACGTTTCTTTCCAGTTCTTTAGGTCAGACTGTCAGAACTTGTTGGTGTATACATGGACCTAGAAGAAAACAAAAGGAGAACTAGCAGGGGAGACATAATTTGGGGAATTGAAGATTATCTGACTAGAGAAATAAAATGGATGAATAAATTGGGGTTTTGGCTAATAAAGGTGTTGTTGTATCACTGTTACTTTGTTTATTTCGATATCTAATGCGCCGAGACGAATGTGTGAGCTCTAGCCCGCTACTCAAGTCATTATTTACAAGCGAGTGACACATTTTTATTTTCCAAGAGCCTTATGTTTTAAGGTTACTTCCCACCTTCGCGGGAGCCCTTCGGGAAAAAAATCGTACGCGCGCCAGTTTCAATAAAACCCCAACAAACTCTATATCATAAGAAAGCTTAATAAATGTACTTTATGAAAACAATACAATTTCAGCAATGCTTTCTTTTACGAAGTGTCAGGAGGCGGTAAGGCGTGAAACGACCGAGGCTTCTTCTACTGAATTTATCGGCTATCGGATTCCGCAGTACGAGCAAAATGGCTGCACAGTCTTATTCACAAGGCATCAATCAACAAAAGGGTGTCGTGGTTTTTCGATATTCTGATTGGTTGTCTAGATATCCACATCTAAAGTTGGAGTAGCTAAAAGTATGCGAGACGTATTGCGTAAATGTCGCCACGGGAAAAATGTGTTAAATATCAAAATTTCCCGACACACTTTGGTTTGTCATTATCTCTGGAATGTTCTGGCGAAATTTCACGAAAATCCGTCAAATCTGCATACCCTATAAATTCGCTCAAAGTGGATGTATTCCGCCAAAAATCAAATGCGAGATTTTAGCTTGTAAAGGTTCGTAAACGACTCCCGCCACGCCCGGAGATTATCACGCCTGATAAAACCGCAAACCAATGGAACAACAGGACCTCCTCATCTCGCTCAGTGGAGGTCAATTTATATAATGGGCACAAACGCCAAAGGCAAAGGCAAAGCCAAAACCCGCGCCAAAAATGTTTAAGGCGGAAAATGTGCCGCTTAAAAACAAGACGTTCAGAAATCGACGGACGGCTTAAGAAATACCCTTATTGCTGAAATGAGTTCCCTTGGGTAGGTCTCATTTTCTTCATCGCTCCCGCCAGATTCCGACGAAGAATCTTATTTTCAGCCTGCACTGACGTTGACTTTGAGTTTTAAGCTACTTGTTTCAAGGATATTTGAACCCTCCGGATCTTCAGCAGATGCCGAGATTGTCGAAGGCGTTTGGCCAAACCAAGAGCCTTTGTCGCTTTCGGCAAGGTTTTTTTTTTCTTTCCTTGGGGATATGGCGCTTTTTCTTTCTTCTTTGGGCCGGGTTTTTCGTTTTCTTTACCCAAGGACTTTTTTCTGCTTTTGATTTTTCCATAGGAGTTAGCGTAAAGAGCTTGCACGTGGGAATTTTTGTCAAGTGCGTAAAAATATGCAAATGACATGAAATACGAACGATGAGCGTTTGCCGCGAAATTTCCCTACGGTTCTCACCCGTTGACAAGATTATGACACCTTCCTAGTTTATTAACTTTATTTGAAAATACGTTTTTTTCTAAATAACTCGGCCGCTTTTTGAGATTTTTAATGTTTTTCCTTTGGAAACACTAGATAAAATGACGAACTTAAATTTTGTCAAATAAAAGAAAAAATGATCTTTTTGGCCTCTGAAGGTGGGAAGTAACCTTAAGTGTATGTCGCATGATACGTTCTTGTCCAGTTGACAGAAAAAAACAGGGAAGATTCATTAGTGATATGCGATCATGGCTGGATTTATGATCCTGATCGATGTCCCGAGTTCAAATCCTCTTCCCTGCCACTGGATGGATTTGTATTTAGTGGTCCCAGATTCAACTCTTCCATACTTTGTAAATAGTGCTCAACCGCACCGGTTGGAATTTTCAACGAGTTTTTCTTCAGGTTGCAACATTTGTTTGCTTGACTAGCAAAGAACTGGAAAGCACTTCGACACTTAAATAAAATGCTTCTTTCTTTTAGAATGTTTGTTTATCATCTTAAGACTAGCGGCGTCGCGTTCAAATGTTTACGACAACTTATCGTCGGCTGAAAACATAGCTATTACTTGAAAACAAAAGAAAAAAACAAAACAAACAACGAGTGAAAAGCCGCTAGTCAGCTCTCCTGTCTTCTTTTATTATTATTAATATTGTTCCTGGCCAATCGCGAACTAGTTCACAAGCTAATTCTGAAAAGAAAACTTCACTCCAAAGTTACTCGTTTCCAAAAGGTTTTCTTTTAGTGAGATGGAAAAGGAACGATTCAAAAAAAATTTTCGGACATAGTTCAGTCACATTCTCGTAACTTTAACTTTTAAAAGGAGAAAGCTGCATGGTTGAGAGAAAAGGTCAGTTCTATACAGTTCTTTAACGAACCAATTCGCATGTATGGGTCTTCCCAGCTGATACAATTCATTGTTCTGTCGTCAGCATTGAAACATATACTGCTAAGGCGAAGTATTCACGATTAATGGCTAAATCTTTGCTATCAACTAATGCAAATATTAACTTTTTTTCGAAATGCACCAAAATTACCTTATTTAAATGATACATTTTGAAAACATTATTTCGCGGACTAAAAGTTTTCATGTTGGGTCACACCATTGTAATATGTTACGAGACGATGGATAGTGTGACAGGATGGCCAAGCATAGTGCAACATATTGTTGGCAACGATTGTGAAATACATTGCGTCGAAATGCTGCGCGCTTACATCTTGCCGGGCTTTTACTCAGCTGTAACAATATACATTAGCAGCAATTCAACGTTCATATGCCATAGAGAAATTGGTTTCAGCGAGCTAAGAAGTTCTATATTGATTATACAGTGCAAAATGATTAGCTAAGTGTTTTGAAAGAAATGATAGTAATCTAGTGTATCATTTTTCTTGCCCATCTGATATCGGAAAATGGAAACATGCCGCAATTTAGTTTCCAGGTTATATTAAAAGCTTGCAGATGTTCCAATATTTACAAGCGATATGGCGCAAGCTTGCATAGAAGAGTTCTTTCAATTTCACTGATGCTTTCAGTATCTGAGTTCGTCATCTTGTTTTAGATCATTTTTTATTTCCTCCTCATCGATGTTAGCTTGATAAAGAACTAATATATATATCATTAAGATATATCATCGGAAGCTGAATGACTCTAGTAATGAATTGCTCCAGTTTTCATTTTGTCCCTCAAAATGGGCTCACGACCTTGAGTTTAAAGAATATTTACGTACCGAGTTACTTGTGCTAACTGACCTTTACGGTCCTTCAGTAAGTTTGTCAGTGTGTTGATGTAAAGGAAGAGAAATAAATAAACAAATCGGAGACTAAATGGATATATCTGAGTCTATAAATGATGAATACCTCATTTAGTTGGGCGCAGTTTTAATGCTCTTTCGCTCGGCGCAAGATGTTGATGATTTTGGGATTACTGGCAGTTTTATTCGTTCCTCTTCCATCGCTTACAGAAGGTAAGAGGGTGAAGGGTTCTGCTTTGTAAGATATGAGGACCTCAATACGAATGACCAAAACTAAGACGGAAAATAATTTATACTCAGTGAACCGAGATCACATTAATTCCGAGGAATGAGCGATTTCAAAGCTAAATACAACTGAAAGCATATTACATTTATGTTGTAAATCCAACTTTCGATGCTATTTCACCAGTTACTGTTTTCATGTAGCCCATCTACAAACACAATCATGTTAAAGAACACTGCACTGTGAAAAAAAAAAAAAAGTGGCTAAACATTCGACCTCAAAGGTTTTCCCTAGACTTTCCTTAAAACGCTTCCTTTACATCATACACAAAAAATACTGACCTCAAAGCATCGACATACTGCAGTCAACTGATTGCCAGTTTAATTAAGTTACGTCTCAACTCGCTCGCTCAAAATGAAAAACGAAGCAATGGCTCATTATTGATTATTTTACTTTCTTTGATTAAAGCTAACAGTAAATGTGGAAGGCGTATCGATCAGCCGTCCCGCGTGGTAAATGGTGAAGATGCCGCACCTAATTCATGGCCGTGGCAGATTTCTCTCCATTACAAACATTACGGCCACATTTGTGGGGGATCACTTATTGAGAACGAGTGGGTTTTGACAGCCGCTCATTGCGTAAAGTTTGACCCCACTCCTGCGTCATTTAAAGTCGTTGTTGGTAAGTTTGCCACAGAACAGAGTCCAGGATGTGGTTGGGCAGTAGTCTATTGCTATGTCCTTATGAGAACTTCTTTGACTTCCCTATGGATCAGTTGTTTTCCCTTTCCCTACCTCCCGACCGACCGACGTCCCTACCTACCTTCCTCACTCCCAGCGACCTCTCACAACCGCTTCCCCGCTTGCCCCTTTCATCCGTCGCTTCCTCGCTTCCACGTTTCCTGGCTTACATTGCTTCCTTGCTTTCATGCTTCTATGTTTGCTAGCTACATGTACGTTTCCATAATCTCTCGCTTGCTAGCTTGCTTGCTTCATCGCTTATCTGCTTGTTTGTTCTTTTTCGTCTTGCCTGATTCCTTACTTGCTTGCCTTCTACCTGTCTGTATACCTTCTCTTAAATCACTCGAAATGTTTTCTTCATTTGGTTTCTAGGTGCTCATTACCGTGAGGGTTCTCCGACCTCGGTTCAAGAAACAATCAATGTAACCGAAGTTATCACTCACTGTGGGTTCAGCGATACAACACTCAAACACGACGTTGCATTGCTAAAACTTCAGAAGCCGATCACACCAAGTGGGAAGGTCAACGTAGTCTGTCTTCCGAGAGATATATATGATCAGATATGGCCAGGGAAAAAATGTTTTATCACTGGTAAAGTATAAGAAGTGGAAAGTTGTAGAGAAATAATGAGTATATAAACTTAACTTTCCCTTAACTAGTTGGTGAGGAGCTGGTTAATTAAAGCCCGGTTCAGGTACATGTCTTGTACTGGTCAAATGTTTCTTGCCACATTGTATTTCTCCATCCAAGCATCCAAGTGTACAAATAGGAAGAAAACGATTGTCCTAGTAGCCTGGTAGAGTTGCCGGTGTTTTCAGACGCTCTTAAAGAAAAAATAAATAAACAAACAAACAAACAAACAAACAAACAATCAAGCAAGCAAGCAAGCAAGCAAGCAAACAAACAAACAAACAAGCAAAGAAAGAAAGAAAGAAAGAAAGACAAACAGAAAGAAAGGCAGAAAAAACAAACAAACAAATAAATGATAAATAAATAAATAAATGATAAATAAACAAATAAATAGATAAATAAAATGCAGGGCTCTTGTTGTGTAGTAGATTCTGGGAGTCAGGTCTGCCCAAATTTACCAAAATTTCTCAGCTAATTCTCAGTAAATTTTGCAGAGGACGCGTCCTTGTTGTCAGCGTTTTAAGTTTAACTCCACCTAAACACTCGTTTTTTGTTTGCCTATATATGTTTTTTCCTCAGGGTGGGGACGCACAGTCGGTGGAGGGAATGCATCAGATGTATTGCAACAAGCAGTGCTTCCGATAGCGGATCACCTAACATGCCGCATAAGAAACAAGAACTTGACAAGAGTCTTTGAAGGACCAATGTTGTGTGCTGGAGGCCAAGGCAAAGGTGGATGTCATGTAAGAATTAGCAATGGTTTTTCACATCTAGGTGTACAAGCTAAGTTCTCAAAAATTAGAAGAAAAAAAATGGATTTCTCTGTCTGTCTGTCTGACTGTCTGTCTGTCTGTCTGTCTGTCAATCTATTTGTCGGTCGGTCCGTCTATCGGTCTATCTGTTTATCTCTCTGAATGTGTGTTTCTGTCTGTTTGTCAATCTGTTTTGTCAATCATGCCGCGAAAGAAACAACTTGATAAGAGCCTACAATGGACATGTGGCCATTTCATATCCATCAAATATACATATATATATATTTTTTTGTTTTGTTTTTGTTTTTGTTTTTGTTTTTGTTTTTGTTTTTTTGTTCAAATGAGAAAAAATGTTTGCAAAATCTATAAAACATGGCAACAAAATTTAGACACCCTACGACGGTTTGTACAAATTCAAAAGCTTGAAGGACGGCGGATTCTAGGTCATTAATAAATTCAAAAGGCACAATTTCGTGAGTAGCTGTTTTCTTCAAAATCCTCAAACTTTGAATTTCGCACATCGATTTCCCCAAATTAATGATTTCTGTGGAGATTATGTTCAGGTTTGCTGGCAGATTACCACCCTCGGCTACATGTTAATTGTATCATTATATAGTATATATCTAGTATTAGGACCTCTATGTAAACCACTTTTAGTGATGGAGCTTCCTAATAAAAGATTGTTACTACTATGTCCAGCTTCAAAAGTTAAGATAGACTACAATTGAAAGTTCCTTCGCTTAATCATGTGCTTCGTATACGTTTGTCCCGTCTGTCCTTTTGTTCATTCGTTCGTTTTTTCGTTCTTTTGCTGCATTCTTAATAGCGTTCGTGTGCCGGAGCTCTGATCGCCTTCTTATACGGTTGCTGTGGTTAAAACATATCCATTTCTAGGTTTCTCTTTTCTGCCAAGAGTTTTGATTATTTGATTTCTTTGTTTTACGTCGTATTATTTTTTTAACATGTTTACTCTGTTTTAGGGAGATAGCGGTGGACCTCTTGTTTGTGCAGAAAGAGGAGGCAAGTGGGTTTTGCGAGGTGTTGTCAGCTGGGGACACTACAATTGTGAAACGGATTACTTCTCCGTGTTTGCTCGTGTCTCCAACTACGTGAAGTGGATTGAGTCAAACACGATGTCCTGATTGGTAATAGTTTATAAGGTATGTTTATATAGCGTGCTCTTGACATGTCCCGGATGCCTAATCACCTGCATGACTGATAGTTCAACGAGTGATCCACGACGATTAACTTTAGAATAGTGAGAAATTTTTCATTTACTAACACTATAAAATAAGTCAATAGCTTGAAAAGTGAGGTAGCTAGTCACATAGGCGGATTTTTTAAATTCTCGTCTAATTTTTATTCCAGAAAGTCAAAAATTTCTGCTAGCTTAAGAGTCTTTTTGTATACGTTTGGCCGCTAAGAATTGACCCCGTGCTATGCCGGGATCTTGGATAAACTTAACTTAGTTTGGCTATACGATAATGAGCGCATGGGGAAATAAATGTGTGATCGCGGGTCCACGGCTCAAGTCATTATTTACCAAGCCAAGAATGACACATTTTTATTTTCCAAGAGCTTTATGTTTAAAGTGTGTCCCGTTTGTAGCCAATATAACAGACGTTCTGATTGGCAATTGTATCAACAATAGCCTCCATTTTTTCGCGAAAATATGCTCGGATATTTGTTATCCGTTCCGTGAGGCGAACAGTTCCCAAGAGCGTAGCTCGAGGAAAACTGTGAGCTCCGAGGAACAGATAATGTCCAAAGACAAATAACCGAGCATATTTTCACCCTAAATGGGGGGTATTGCGTTTATTTTCCTTCAAATCTTCTTCGCTACACGCGCAGTTTTGAAAATTGGAGAATATCACTCGTAAATTCCCCAGTTTTAGCTGGGGCATATTCGGTCACGTGGTGCGTTTAGACCAATCACGCGCGAGAGAAAATATTTGATGGCTTATAAAGGTCTTTTTTTATTTTTTTTCGCCTTGCCGTGTCGACCTCCTTACTCAGGTCCGTACGAAAAGGTTCGGCCTTGGTCTCAGATTTCCCCTTAAAGATCTCACTTTCGGTTAATGAGTAGTTAATCTAAAAACTACGGAACTCGTGCTCAAAAGCAAATGACAACTTATCGTCGGCTGAACTCATAGCTATTACTAAAAAGAATAACAAAACATCGTATCACCTGTCACCTGTCTACAACCCACCTGCCATACTGTTGTTCAGACCGATTCTGACATAGCGTCGACAATAGGAACTTGACATAACAACGAAAAAGGAAATTACACTGTAAAGATACCCTTTTACCGAACGTTTTCTTAAATTGAGCTGCAAGAGAAACAACAATTCAAAAAACAATAACGGAGAAAGCTGGTTGAGACGAAATTCAGTAGTCTAAGTTTCTTTAATGGCCTCATTCACGCAAATGGGCTTTGCAGCTGATACAATCATTGTCCTGTCATCAGCATTGAAACTTAAACATGTCTTGCAGAGGGGAAGTAGTCATTTAAGTGGTTCCTTTTCCAAGTGTATGTACAGTATACCGTTGACAAGAGGACCCATTTAGACAAGTTTAACTGAGGAAAAATACCAAAAAATAATGTTCTGATTCTGACATAGCGTCGACAATAGGCACTTGACATAACAACGAAACAGGAAATTACACTGTAAAGATGTCCTTTTACCAAACGTTTTCTTAAATTGAGGTGCAAGAGAAACAACAATTCAAAAAACAATAACGGAGTAAGCTGGTTGAGACGAAATTCAGTAGTCTAAGTTTCTTTAATGGCCTGATTCGCGCAAATGGGTCTTTGCAGCTGAGACAATCTTTGTCCTGTCATCAGCACTGAAACTTCAACATGTCTTGCAGAGGGGAAGTAGTCATTTAAGTGGTTCCTTTTCCAAGTGTATGTACAGTATACCGTTGACAAGAGGACCCATTTAGACAAGTTTAACTGAGGAAAAATACCAAAAAATAATGTTCTGATTCTGACATAGCGTCGACAATAGGCACTTGACATAACAACGAAACAGGAAATTACACTGTAAAGATGTCCTTTTACCAAACGTTTTCTTAAATTGAGGTGCAAGAGAAACAACAATTCAAAAAACAATAACGGAGTAAGCTGGTTGAGACGAAATTCAGTAGTCTAAGTTTCTTTAATGGCCTGATTCGCGCAAATGGGTCTTTGCAGCTGAGACAATCTTTGTCCTGTCATCAGCACTGAAACTTCAACATGTCTTGCAGAGGGGAAGTAGTCATTTAAGTGGTTCCTTTTCCAAGTGTATGTACAGTATACCGTTGACAAGAGGACCCATTTAGACAAGTTTAACTGAGGAAAAATACCAAAAAATAATGTTCTGATTCTGACATAGCGTCGACAATAGGCACTTGACATAACAACGAAACAGGAAATTACACTGTAAAGATGTCCTTTTACCAAACGTTTTCTTAAATTGAGGTGCAAGAGAAACAACAATTCAAAAAACAATAACGGAGTAAGCTGGTTGAGACGAAATTCAGTAGTCTAAGTTTCTTTAATGGCCTGATTCGCGCAAATGGGTCTTTGCAGCTGAGACAATCTTTGTCCTGTCATCAGCACTGAAACTTCAACATGTCTTGCAGAGGGGAAGTAGTCATTTAAGTGGTTCCTTTTCCAAGTGTATGTACAGTATACCGTTGACAAGAGGACCCATTTAGACAAGTTTAACTGAGGAAAAATACCAAAAAATAATGTTCTGATTCTGACATAGCGTCGACAATAGGCACTTGACATAACAACGAAACAGGAAATTACACTGTAAAGATGTCCTTTTACCAAACGTTTTCTTAAATTGAGGTGCAAGAGAAACAACAATTCAAAAAACAATAACGGAGTAAGCTGGTTGAGACGAAATTCAGTAGTCTAAGTTTCTTTAATGGCCTGATTCGCGCAAATGGGTCTTTGCAGCTGAGACAATCTTTGTCCTGTCATCAGCACTGAAACTTCAACATGTCTTGCAGAGGGGAAGTAGTCATTTAAGTGGTTCCTTTTCCAAGTGTATGTACAGTATACCGTTGACAAGAGGACCCATTTAGACAAGTTTAACTGAGGAAAAATACCAAAAAATAATGTTCTGATTCTGACATAGCGTCGACAATAGGCACTTGACATAACAACGAAACAGGAAATTACACTGTAAAGATGTCCTTTTACCAAACGTTTTCTTAAATTGAGGTGCAAGAGAAACAACAATTCAAAAAACAATAACGGAGTAAGCTGGTTGAGACGAAATTCAGTAGTCTAAGTTTCTTTAATGGCCTGATTCGCGCAAATGGGTCTTTGCAGCTGAGACAATCTTTGTCCTGTCATCAGCACTGAAACTTCAACATGTCTTGCAGAGGGGAAGTAGTCATTTAAGTGGTTCCTTTTCCAAGTGTATGTACAGTATACCGTTGACAAGAGGACCCATTTAGACAAGTTTAACTGAGGAAAAATACCAAAAAATAATGTTCTGATTCTGACATAGCGTCGACAATAGGCACTTGACATAACAACGAAACAGGAAATTACACTGTAAAGATGTCCTTTTACCAAACGTTTTCTTAAATTGAGGTGCAAGAGAAACAACAATTCAAAAAACAATAACGGAGTAAGCTGGTTGAGACGAAATTCAGTAGTCTAAGTTTCTTTAATGGCCTGATTCGCGCAAATGGGTCTTTGCAGCTGAGACAATCTTTGTCCTGTCATCAGCACTGAAACTTCAACATGTCTTGCAGAGGGGAAGTAGTCATTTAAGTGGTTCCTTTTCCAAGTGTATGTACAGTATACCGTTGACAAGAGGACCCATTTAGACAAGTTTAACTGAGGAAAAATACCAAAAAATAATGTTCTGATTCTGACATAGCGTCGACAATAGGCACTTGACATAACAACGAAACAGGAAATTACACTGTAAAGATGTCCTTTTACCAAACGTTTTCTTAAATTGAGGTGCAAGAGAAACAACAATTCAAAAAACAATAACGGAGTAAGCTGGTTGAGACGAAATTCAGTAGTCTAAGTTTCTTTAATGGCCTGATTCGCGCAAATGGGTCTTTGCAGCTGAGACAATCTTTGTCCTGTCATCAGCACTGAAACTTCAACATGTCTTGCAGAGGGGAAGTAGTCATTTAAGTGGTTCCTTTTCCAAGTGTATGTACAGTATACCGTTGACAAGAGGACCCATTTAGACAAGTTTAACTGAGGAAAAATACCAAAAAATAATGTTCTGATTCTGACATAGCGTCGACAATAGGCACTTGACATAACAACGAAACAGGAAATTACACTGTAAAGATGTCCTTTTACCAAACGTTTTCTTAAATTGAGGTGCAAGAGAAACAACAATTCAAAAAACAATAACGGAGTAAGCTGGTTGAGACGAAATTCAGTAGTCTAAGTTTCTTTAATGGCCTGATTCGCGCAAATGGGTCTTTGCAGCTGAGACAATCTTTGTCCTGTCATCAGCACTGAAACTTCAACATGTCTTGCAGAGGGGAAGTAGTCATTTAAGTGGTTCCTTTTCCAAGTGTATGTACAGTATACCGTTGACAAGAGGACCCATTTAGACAAGTTTAACTGAGGAAAAATACCAAAAAATAATGTTCTGATTCTGACATAGCGTCGACAATAGGCACTTGACATAACAACGAAACAGGAAATTACACTGTAAAGATGTCCTTTTACCAAACGTTTTCTTAAATTGAGGTTGAACTGATCGTTATATCAAAGGTATGTTTATATACCGTCATCTTCATAGCAGATAGGGCAGTTAACTGTCGACAGTCGAAAAAATAAAAAGCAGCGACTCAATTGAAGTCATAAAATATTGTGTAGTTTTCATTTTACTGATACCATTTAACATGCTAAAAACTTGAAATATGAAGTAACTCATCATATCGGTGGAGTTTTCGGATTCTCGTCTTATTTTTCTCTCAGCCGGTCAAAAATCTCTGCTAGTTTGGGTGTTTTATTGCACATATTTGGAAAGTTAGAATTAACTCCGTATTAAGCTGGACTCAAGGATGAACTTATGTTAATTTGAGTATACGATATTTCCCCTATTTTTGTTATATTCAGATTGGCGATTAGTTGAAAGTTTTTCGAGCTTTAGGTGAATTCATATATTAATATGACAATAAAAGAAGTAGTTTATAACTAGACGTTTAAGAAGGAATCCAGCACGAGTTCGAGTAACAAGCGGACAAAAACTTTGTATCGAGGTTATAAACTTTGTATTGCAAACTTCTGTGCGACTCTTTGCGACTCTTCTCCCAAGAAATCATTTCTAACAACAACAAAATCATATCGAAAACAAATTTTGAAGTTCATATGAAACACTTGAAAGTACTGGTAAAATGAAACTGGTGATGAAATTTTAATTGTGATTGCGCAATTTTTATGAACTTTGAAATTTATTTTCTCGATTTCCCACAGCAAATTGTTTGTGGTGTTATTTCAGACAATTATTTATATCATTAACTTTTAGAAAATGCAAAAAAAAAAAGACTGTAGTATGCTTAAAGTTATTCTGGTACAAGGTTTTTAATCCATTAAGAACTTAATTTGCTATCGGATTTCGTCTTAAAATTCATATCGAACTATCAAAGATGTTTCTGGTTGCTGAATAGTTGTTATGCTCCTTTCTAGGTCGCCATGCAGGTCAACAGCTTCCACGACTGCTGAAAGTAGACATGCACCCAGAACACAACAAAGGGAGAAATAGCACAGGGGAAATTATTGTGGGAATTCTAAATTATATATGACTAGAGCAAATGAAATGAATGAAAATATATCAACCTGATTTGAATAAACTGGAGTTATTGGCAATAATGTGGTCAGTTGAATTATATTTATGTTGTCCATTTCGATATCTTAAGCACGGGGAATGGGTTAAGGCGAATCAAGGAATCAAAGGTTGTCTCCTTTACATTCGCTATTTGGATTAAGGGGGGAATGGGGGGGGGGGCGAGGGGGAAGGAGTGAGAAGGTGGGAGCAGATGGAGAGAAAGAGGAATTAGTCTAAATCTCTCCTCCTGTCTCCTACTTGGAAACTCCCTCGGGTCTTCTTTAATGTGATATGGTTCATTGCGAAGGAAGATGTTTTTGGATTTTTCACCAAAGATGTCTTACATTTAGAAGACTGTCATTGTAAGCTCTTTAAAGGAATAGTAAGCGGCTTTCTTTTTAGAATAAATATTCGACAAAAATAGACCATGACTAATTACTGATATTTTATACATTTTATGCTTCCGAGCGGAACAAACAGGATAAAAGGGCCAGGATAAAACACTTCAAATGATGTCAAAGGAAATAACTTTTTTAACCCTCTAGAGTGATTGTCGACAGTGACATATTAAATTGCCCAAATAAAATCTTCAAAGAAAGATAATTTTATAACACTGTTAAAAATAAAACTAATTAAAAAAAAAAAATCACAGCTTGGTATAACTATACTCACTATGAAAAATTACAAAATAATTTTTTTTTGTTAAAATTTCAGCACCGCTCAGCGATCTCATCTCTCGATGTTATCTCATTGAGTAATTTCGACAGAAGTCTCAATATATTGGAATACATCGCAATTATTCGAATCTTTGTTTTCTCCAACCTTCCGATAACTTGAACCAAAAGGCACTTACAATGAATTTGCCGTCACTGCAGGCTGAATGTACTGCTACAAAAGTTCAACTTGGCAGCTAGTACAAGTTTTTCAACAATTGAAGATTAAAAATAAAAATTCACAGTTTAAATAAATGGACGTATTTCATCAATGTTTATCATTTTTACAACAATTTGTTAATAACTGCTATTGACTGCGGGGTTTAACGGGGCTGAAGCCCGTTTCTCGAGGGTCCCCAAAAAGGTTTCGCATCCGGAAAGCCGTAGCAAAATCTCAAACCCTATGACTACAGAGCTGTTTTATTCTCATGTTTTTCATATGACCAGAGGTTCTCTTCATTCAACACATTTCAGACGTATTCATCTCTCTGTTTTTAGATACCGATTGACTAAAAATGGCTTTGCGGGCCCGAAAAGTTTCCGGGACTTTCGAGAAACAGGCCCCTGGTTAGGATTGGTAATTTTAGACGATTTCTCCACCATTTGATAGGAAAGTCATACACTACACTGTTAGCGTGCATGCTGTGATCCATGATCCAGTTTTACTCACATCGACCTAAACCCAAGGTTTTCGCCATTTGAAATGAATTTTCCTACGTGTTGGCTATACACTTCTATTGTAGTTATACTGGACATCCTTGACATTTCCATTCATGATGTTTTTGGACTGCAAGCAAAGATTTTCGTCTTAGCTTCTGCTTGTCCATACTGTCCACTTGCTGCAATGATTGTGTAACAAGGGCATTCAATTGATCACTTTCTAAAAAAAAGTAATATATAAACAAGGCATATAAGTGCTCGCATTTATTAGAAACGTGGAGCAATTTCAAAGAAATAGACCAAAATATTTGGTTTAAAAACTCGAAGAAGTTCTTATTTTCTTACTATTTATCCTATTCTGCGCCATCGGAGACTTAACTCAATGTTTGTCATTCATATTGAAACTTCTTTCAGTGTATCATATAGAGGCTTGAACTAATACATAATTCAGTCTTCCTTTGTAAACTTTTAATATGTGAATTTTTTTTTTCTTTTAGAATTTCTTTCCTATTGTTATGTATAGCGTGTAAAAACGGTAGGAGACAGTTCAGTAAGTATAGATTTGAACTCAAGCCATTTACTCAATATTACTTTATACAGAATATTGTTCTAAAACCTAAAGGTACAAAGGTAGCATAGCGATAAAAGATTTGACTAAATGTGTGTGTGTCCCCAACTACATTTTTTTAAAGCTAAATAAACTCAACGAAAATCTTTTATTCATCTCCTTGTTTCTTAGTTAATATTATTTAATCATTTTGGAATTTCAAAAACACGCTGCAGCTTTTCACATACTGTACTTTTAAGACACATCGTTCTATTTTGAGCGTAATTGATCGTTAATTTGTCTCTAGGGCGCTGAATTTTGCTGCTAGTATCTGATTCATGTTTGACTGTAAGTTCTTATTTCATCTCATTTACGCGGTGTTGGTGATCCGGCTAATGACAGCTCTAACTGTTACGAGAAAGATGTATACAGTATATGAGCGATGAAATGGTTGACCTATAATAATTTATTATTATTATTATTACTATTATTATTATTATTATTACTATTATTATTATTATTATTATTACTATTATTTTGCTTAACTTTTTTGACGCTTGAATGTGTTCGACATCTTGTTAGATTCGCTCGGAAAACAGGGAAAGGCAGAATATGGCAAGTTCAATTATAATTGGAGGACTCTGTTGTTGTGAGAACTTGAGTAAAATACTTGCAATTGGTTTAAAATTTAGAAAATAGTTATCAGATAAAAGGCCAAAAAAAAAATATTCTAATTAGAGATATTTTAAGCTTTCCATGCAAAACAAACGGGAAAGTTCACACTCGAATAGGGCACTTAGGAGGAAATAAATATTTTATTCTCTAAGAGAGGCTCTCAGTGATATTCAAATTACCTAAACAAATCTCTTAAATAAAACCACTTTTTTCGACCAAGTAAGGACGAAATGTATATATTTTTAACTGACACATTTGTTTTTAACTTTGAGCTTGAGGACTTGTAGCAATGCATATTACGTGTAGTAAGTTGAATTGTACTGGCTGCTTGAGAGAGATTTGTGACAGGCAATCTTTCTGTTAAGAATTTTTCTGTTTGATCCAAGGTTAGAAATCGTATTCCCGTTTTGGGTGAAAACATACATATTTTTCCCATTCACTTCAAGTTTTATGATGTACCTTGTGTCAAACGGTAAAACTTGAAACCTCTCTTGGTTTTGTCAAAGAGATAAACCATTTAAAATAAACTTGATCGCAGAAGAGGCTTCAATGTAATTGCATCATGTCAGAGTTGTGTTTGCGCTCCCACGTCTTAAGAAAAATCTTCTTCTCAGAGACTGCGCCTTTAAGAACAAAGAATTGGAAAACAAAGAGTTGCAGTTAGTGGTGACAAACAATGAGCATAATATCTAGTGACACGAAAACAGATCTTTTTAGTAGATAAGCAAATTGGTTAAATGGCTAAAGTAAAAGCTGTGTAAGTACTTTCGGAGGTTTTTCGCGAACTATTGCTTTAATTTCCTAGATAATGTTTACTTTTACAAGATTCGGCGCTAAAGAAATTATGAGAGCTATTTCAACTACTTTAATGGGCTTTGTTATCTTTTCTGTCAGCAAACAATTAATAAAAATAACATCTTTCGAAACGAACTTTAAAACATCAAGACTGATACAGGTTTCTGAATTCAATTTTTTTTCGTGCTAATCTCGTGCAGAAGAAATCTTGCGAACGTCTCTTTTCTTGGAGGGCCTCGTTAAGTGACAACAAAAATAGAAATATAAAAATAACATAAAAGCTTCTTAGAAACATTACACTCAAGAAATTTGTCTTCTTTATTACTGGTACCACTATTGACGTCTTTGCTCTAAATTGAAGATGAAATTTCACTCAAGAGAATGGAATAAAAACAACTTAAGGTGATTTTTCTTTATTTGAAAAAGTCGAAGTAAAACGAAAGTGGACAAAAATATAACAATAACTTGTTCAAGTGTTTTTATATTGAGATATTTTTATCGAAAGATACCAGATGAAACCATGAAATTTAGCCCAAATTTAAGGTGTTGATTTCTAATACCAGTTATATTAAGAGAACAGTCTGCTCGGCTAGACGGCATAGTTTTCGATCACGTTAAGCCTTGAAGACAATTTACAAAGAAACGCCTTCGCAGAGAAGAAGTAGCACTGAAAGGAGGGGAACAAGCGAAGGCCATGAAACCATCGCGAGTTTTGCGATTGGCTCTACTTGTCTCGTGCCTTGAGTCGGTGTGGGGAACTCCCGTAGATCAAAAGGAGAAACTCTTTGCGTTGGTAAGTATAAAGTTCAAGATTTTCATGCTGGTTTCTTTTTAAATAATTCACGCAACATAGCGTTTCTATAGAGAGGCTTAATGCTAAGATTAATTTTATAAGTTAATCGAGTTCATACAACTCATCTTCATTAACCTAGCTCCCAAATACACTGCTACTTAAATTTGGATTTGACAGTGATAACCAGGTATTTTTAAACGTATACGCTTTTCTAGCTATTTTATTTCTTATCTGTGTGTTTTTCGCTAAATTACAAAAATCTTGACCAAAGGAAAGATTTAAAAGATTTGCATGCATAGATCGTTAAGCCTCCGTCAAAAGTCCAGAATATTTTAGCAACTGAATATATCCTGATAAAGATAATAGGTGAAATACTTTATCGCACGCGCGAGGATCAGTTCTTTTAAAAGAAACGTTATGAAGGGATAACCACTGCTGAAAGTAACTATGAGAAGGAGTGCTTGTATATGTTTTGACTCTTCTTTCCATGTTTTACTCAGAAATATCTCAAGGAATACCATTACCTGTCTCCCTTGAAAAGTGGAAATCACAACTTCAAGGATGCGCTGAGGATTTTTCAGCAAAATTCGGACATTCCAGACACTGGCCTACTTGACGCCAAAACAATAACAGAAATGCGCAAACCGAGATGTGGTGTCCCGGATTTTGACGAGGGTGGGAGCTCAATCAACTCTGGTGAGGATATAATGGGGGTGGAGTGGTTCAAAGACCAGAGTACTCGTGTTAAATCTGTTGGTCTAAGCCTTCTGGCAGTACGCCCGCTGGGATCTGTAGCTATCCCCTGCCCATTTGCAAAGTTTGTCAGACCGCGGGCTCCCACAAGCACAACCTTCAAATAAAGATTGCATGCACAAGACTATATTTTCACCCAGCTTACCCTCTAACCAATGATATGTTTCCAACCGGTAGTTTCAATATGGAATCAAGAGTGACTTAGGATGCTTACCATTTAGCCAAAAAATACGGAAAATTCCGGTTGAAAGTCAAATGGACCAGTATAATCCTTTCAGAAATTGTAACTTCCTCCAGAGGTAGTTCTCTTTTTCCGATTGGAACGGAACGGCGAAAATTTATTTACCATTTGCTACATTTTCCAGTTTCCAGTCTCTCAGCAGCCGAAAACAATAACGAGAATTCGAATTGCAAATGGTAAGAGCCATCTTGTTCGGTTGGTTTGCTGATTTTTGACATATCCTTACCAATATTCAACGGTCATCCCAACCGCTTTATTATGACGAATGGTAAACATCCTTATATTCGTGACGAAGTTTCTGGTATTTCTGATCTTATCAAACATTGATCAATTTACCAATTTTGAGCCCCCAGTTCTTTTCTGTATATAAAGCCTTTTTTAACAAAAGACAATGGGATAGGGAAGCGTTTAGTGAGTAACTCTTGAGAACTTTTTATATATTTTTAAAAAGGCTAAAATGTAGACGTACGGTGTTCACCTTTAGGTTTTTACCTTAGGTGTTTACCATGTATAAATAAAGACTGATTGAGTGATTTATAAATTGATTGATTGAAGTAAAATAAAATACAAATTAGAAATAAAAATCCTGGAAATACTACTGTAAGCCTTATGGGAAATTAAACGACGGCACACAAGTGTCTGTGCTCAGTCAAATACATATAATTGATTAGAATATTCTCCTCGGGTTTTGTCAGTATCAAATTGTAAGACGCATCTTAAGAACCACAACAATTTTCTCCAGGATTTTTGTTTTGATTTCCCAGGCGATGTTCTTGCTTAACCTTAATAATGAAAGTACTAGTACTGGTCTGGTCTTATCTTGCCGAATTTCAGAGAGAAAGAAGCGGTTTTCAGTTTCCGAGACCTTTTGGACGACATTCCAACTAACTTACAAGTTTCATAACTACGCGTCGAAGGGCGGATTGACTCCTGCTAAGCAGCGCAGTATCGTACTGAAGGCCTTCACGCAATGGGAAAATATCAGTCCGTTTTCCTTTAGTGATGTCACTGGCTCTAGTTCCAGTCCGGATATTACAATATCGTAAGTGCAGTCAAACGGAAAATAAATAAATAAATAAATAATAAAACAAAGAAGGAAGTTAACGTCCAGGCTCAGGCCGTTCACAGGATCGATAAGCTATCAAGCTAAGGCCAGTTTCTCAAAGGGTGAGTGTGAATAAGTGTAGGTAGTGATTTATCTTATGGATAGCGTTATCTACCATTTTGAGCAACAGGGGGCCGAATAAATCATTTTTTTTTTTTCTAGCGTGATTTGTTTTGTGAAAATTTATCCACTGGATAGCGATTTATCCAGTCCATAGAATTATCTATAAGACATTCCCAGAGTGAGCCAAAATGTAGAGCAAAAACGACGTTTGTAGCACAATTGGTTGATATGTTAGTTGCGATGTGCAAATGGAATATAGGCGGTGGGGAAATTTTCAAAATGGCTTCGTGCTTTAGAGAGGCAGGCAACAGTTTCCAGCACTTTTCTAACGGTTAACAGTTATACTTCAAATGATGAATACTACGACTGTTTAACAGGTAATGATAATGGTATCACACAAATGCCCAATCATTGGAAAACAAGTTGCGGTCATCTTGTCTATATAGAGCCGCCTTGATTTTCGAAAATTTAAGGAGGCTCTGAATCCACTCTACCAGATGTTTTTAAACTTTGTAAAAGTCACATCTTACCATGGTTATAAAATTCGATAACAAAAACTGATGGTCACCGAGCTCTTTTTTGATGTTAAGGAACTGAAAGCTAAAATTAAGGGTGTTTTTAAGAGGTTGTGTTGTTGCTATGGTAGCCTATTGTACCAGTTGACACTAACATGTTCACTAATGATAGGGCATTTGTTTGATACCATGATTGTGGCATCAACCGATACAGTGTGGTTATAATGACCCATCATAATCTACATTTTGGAAAAAAGTTGGAAAGTGTTTGAAGCCACCTTAAGGAGTGTTTCTCCGCATAGGAGGTATGCCCTGATGTGTGTAATTATAATACTAAAAGTTGCAATGGTTTTTATTTATGAACTCTAAAAAGTTATGAAATATGAGACTGTTTTAAAAAGTAAAACTCCCTGGACGGTGGCTAATTTTTATATCAGTTGAGTTTTAATGGTTAAGCTAGGCCACTGAAATCGTCAATTATTTCATCTATCTGCATACGTTTCTGTCGCGGATCTAGAGGGAGTACGGAGGACTCGCTGGAACCCCTAAATTAACAAAAAAAAATGAGAAATTTTAACACCCTGACCTGGCGTGCATCTCAAACCCCCTGCACTAAAATCCTGTGTGTGCCCCAGCATTTTCTTGACGTATTCTGTAATCTGTTATTCAAGATTTTTCGCCAAAGGCCACGGCTCTTGCCCATTTCCCTTCGACAATGTTGGACAGGACCTTGCGCATGCATTTTTTCCTGAGGTGGGAACTGTGCACTTTGATGATGATGAAACATTCACCGATGGTACACCCAATGGAATTAACCTTTTTTCGGTTGCTCTCCATGAAATTGGACATCTCTTGGGGTTGAAGCATTCATTACACGCTGCGGCCATCATGCACAGCATATATAAGGCTTATGATCCAAACATGCAACTCACGAACGACGACAAAAATGGAATTGATTACATTTATGGTAGGTAAATCAGTCTTTTGATGACCTGTTGTGAGCTCAGTTTTGACCAAGTAAATACAGATGCAAATTAATTTTTCTTTTTGGGGATGGAAAGTGATACCTTTTCAAACTCATTAATAATCCATCAAGTTAAAACAGAGGAAATCATGACCTTCGTATTTTTAGTTTCTCTTCCCGGTGTTTGGAAGTGTGGTTAAACACGGTCTTTCGTGTTTGATATATTACATTAAAAAATATATATATAATTTTCTAGAGATTCAGCACGCAAGAGGTAGTGATGAGACATACTGCAAACGTCTCAAGATTAAATTACATAAAAAAAAACATGATAAAAAATGCATAGAAATAAACGCTCATTTACAATTTATTTAATTCTGTTTTGTTGCTTTTTGTTCATTTCTTTAAACATACGAATAAAATATGCACGTTACTTGATTATTCTATCTCTTTTATAATTCAAACATTAATAATTGTAAAAATTCGGTTTACAACTGTATTTGTTATTTGATTTAATTCTCCATCAATAAGGCTAAATTTTGAAAATCTACTTTTCAACAATTGTCTTTACAGCTCAGGGAAATGTGACGCCAGGAAGCACTCCCTGTGAGTATGAATGCGTTATTCTGCACGATATAAACTAGTTATGCAAAAATTTCGACTGATATACTTAACAATTAGACCCGTGGCCCTTGAGGGCGAAGGGTCTAATTGTTTTAGTATCACCCAACTAGTCGGACAGAAAAGGCAATAATAAAGTTAGCAAATGCAAGTTGAAGAAATATTTATTTGGGAATAAAACGAAAAAAATGTCACGCTCGATTGCGCCAATTTCGCTACTCGAGGACTATTACTAATAGTCCTCTAGTGGCGTAGCCAATCAAAATGCAGGATTTGCGTTAGTCCACTAGTTGGGTGATACTAACATGGAATATCCCACGAGTCACTTGTATTTTCTCGGTATACACGCAAGCCTTTAGATCCGTGGGATATTCCATGGTATACCACAAGAGAGCGTTGCATTATACAGTGGCTAACACGATCGATGCGACGTACGCGCGGCGCATGATGAGAAGGTTAGATATAATGCCGTCGAATATTCGACGGCTTTCCTGTATTTTGATTGGCTGCTTTTCTATAGCGTGGTGTAAATAGGGATCTATGCATCCCTACCACAACAACTCCGTTGATTAATTTTCTACCGTTGTTCCTGATACATTAATTGCAAAAGCCAAAAAATAGGTAAAAAAAAGTTGATGCCATATTTTGAAAGTAACCACTGTTGCATCCTTTGTTGTAGCACCATGTTCTGACAAACACCCAGGATGCATAGCTTCGCAGTCTTATTGTGATAACGTAGGTCTAATTGGTGACTCTATGAGGAGAATTTGCAGTAAAACTTGTGGACAATGCGGTAAGTTTCATATTCGGCTGCCCAATCAAGCAATTATTACATTTGGAAACTTTAAGTGCAACTAACTCCTCAGATGTTTTGACGCTGTTGTTGTTTCACACGGGTTTAGTGCTGTTAGGGTATTTAGATGAAAGTTTCAGTTTACCTCATCTTCGAGTATTCTTTGTCGATTAAGAAGATTATGACCGTTTATCTTTTAAGTTACATTTATTTTCAACCATTGATCTGGATCAGTGGAAGGACTGGACTTTGACTCCATCGCATGAGTTTTACCTTGCATTTTGGGGAAAATTTGGGAATATTTCCGAGAACCTAGAGATTTTTTTGACTCTCCAAAAGCTGAAAGTTCTGTTAGATTATATTACCCCTTTTCGTGTTCATTGACATCTTAATGACTCTTCAACAGCTGTAGGTTAACTATTCAGCCATTGTTTTAAACTGTATAGGTCAAATGGACGGGAAATTGTCGATCCTGACTTAATAATAACCGAATTAAAAAAATAAATAAATAAAAAAAATCATAATCATAATCATAATCATAATCAATTAAAAAATATACCCTGTAGCTGTCCTAATCGTATACGTAGCTAGACTCCGAATTGTTTTGATGGATGATACGTGTATTTCATTTTGCAAGTCTTGTCCATTTTTTGATAAAATATGACGCACAAATATCCCAAATGTGTTTTCAAAGTGCTCTAAGCCCAGCCAAACGTCTTTTGAGTGTTTTCTGACCAGTTCTTCCGCTATCGCCAAAAGAAGATTCCGACCTAGATCCTAATTTGCGAGGTCGTGGCTGCAAAAATTACAACTTCAAACGCCTGTAGAAGCGACGGGATCTTATCAACCGAGACTTTTTTCGCTGAGTTGGGAAAACTAGTAGACTTTACTAAAAGAAATAAATTGGGAGCACAAAGCACTTTCAGGAATTTAGCTTAATTTGCTCTTCAAACACTTTCAAATGGATGGAGAAATGCGTTCTTCTTTGTAGTGGAATGAAATACTATATGTCAGATTGAGAATCTAATAATTTTAAGCCAGTGCGATCAAACGTCTAGCTTAATCAGTTATAAATACACAAACATGGTCACAGTCAATGATGGTTTGGCATTTTGGTTTTATTTTATGATGAAGAAGATATTGCGCCATTCCTTTGGTGAGAGAGAACGCAAGCTACACGTTATCAATGATAATGATCTAAGTCGCCTATGAATGCAGTAGTTTTTCCTGTTCTAGAGTATTTTCAAACTCAAGTTTATGACTGACCTATACCAGTTGCCTCATTTCAGTTCTGTTCTCTTCTAGATGGATCGGGTGTCGTCGGTAAGTAAATCAATTTTAGTCGGCAACGGCTATTGATTGCAATGCATGCACATCACATCACATCACATCACATCACATCACATCACATCACATCACATCACATCACATCACATCACATCACATCACATCACATCACTACGCATCACATCACATCACTTCAGCTCGTCACATCACACACATCACATTTCATCACATCACATCACTTAACATCACATCACACTTCACTTCACATCATTTCACATCACATCACATCACCTCACCTCACCTCACTTCACTTCACCTCACTTCACTTCACTTCACTTCGCTTCACTTTACTTTGCTTCATTTTACTTCACTTCACATTACATGACATGACATGACATCAAATCACATCACCTCACTTCACTTCACTTTACGTCACTCCACTTCACTTCACATCACATCACATCGCATCGCATCACATCACTGATATCATAATACATCACATCACATCACTACGCATCACATCACATCACATCACAGCACATCATATCATACACATCACATCACATCGCATCGCATCACATCACAGCACATCACATCACATCACATCACTACGCATCACATCACATCACTTCAGCTCGTCACATCACACACATCACATTTCATCACATCACATCACTTAACATCACATCACACTTCACTTCACATCATTTCACATCACATCACATCACCTCACCTCACCTCACCTCACTTCACTTCACCTCACTTCACTTCACTTCACTTCGCTTCACTTTACTTTGCTTCATTTTACTTCACTTCACATTACATGACATGACATGACATCAAATCACATCACCTCACTTCACTTCACTTTACGTCACTCCACTTCACTTCACATCACATCACATCGCATCGCATCACATCACTGATATCATAATACATCACATCACATCACTACGCATCACATCACATCACATCACTTTACATCACATCACATCAAATCACATCACTTCACTTCACATCACATCACATCACAACGAAGCGAACGAGTGAGATATTGTTCTTGCCACTCGAACATAAAATTCATACCTTCTCACCACCGTGTAATATCCTCTTTATATGGGTTATTGACCAAGTGTGAGGTCATGATGGCTGGATATTGGTCAAGTTCTTTTTTTTGCGTGTTTATGAAGCGAGACGAAGTCGAGGTCCATAAACTCGCAAAAAAAGAACGATGCTAATATGCAGGCCATCTTGACCGAACAAGCTTGGTCAATAAAGGGACACGGCGGGTAGTCCCGACCGGGCAAGACAGCTCCATCTTGCCCGCTCGGGTAGCTGATCACAGCGCAGGATTTGATTCATTTTGCCCGCTCAAGGAGCTAGCCATATAAGAAGGTCTATTATTGGACAACAAATTCCTCTAATAATCCTAGAATGACACTGGGTCTCTTACTTGTGATTCTTACAACGTACATTGACAGGCTTTCGCTGTTTTCTCTAGCACCCTGTCAAGATGCCGTACCACAATTTCTGTGCGCGTATTATAAAGGCCAGTCGCTCTGCTCTAAAACTAACGCTTACGTGTTTGCCAACTGCAAGAAAACGTGCAATTTTTGTAGTGCTGGTAAGTTACATGTATTATTCTTTTGTTTGATTATTGAAGAAAAATCATATATTACTTACAGGACATACATTACATGATGGGGAGGACAAGATACGATTCAATACTAAATAAGAACACTGAATATCTAATTAATAATAAAAATAACTGAAATTATAATCCATCAAATATTTCCGCTCGCGCGCGATTGGTCTAAACACGTCACGTGACCGAATATTATCCAATGTTCAAAGCTGCGGGTGTTGCGAAAAATATTTGAAGGATAATACGCTCTCGGAAAACTGTTCGCTTCTCGGAACAGATAATGTCCGCAGACAAATATCCTAACATATTTTCGCGCCAAATGGAGGCTATTGTTTATTTAACAATTAGTAAGTAAAAGAGAAAAAATAAAACAACAACAACAACAATTAAAGAGACATCAACAAGCAGACTTGTGTAACTGGTGCCTAGTGAAAAACCATAAGAAATGTTTTTAGAGTTTGCGGTTGTCGTAGTTGTCATCTTCATCGTTATCATCATTTTTTAACAAAATAAAAACAGATACAATCACAAGAAAATGACAGAGCGAAGGGACTTCTAAAAATCCACCAGGCTTTCAGTGGATGCCACCTCAGTTGTTACTTAAGTATAAATTTTAAGCTTTGTGTGCGGCATAACTGATTCAGCATCATTTATTTCATTAAAAATGTAATAATCTTTTTTCTTAAAACTAGAAAAGCTTGTTGAACTAGTAATAGATACTTCCAGGCAGAGAATTCCAAATTGTTACGATTATTTCATGCTAGGAGAAAAAGGGGCTGGCAAGTACGTTTTTACGGCAACCAATGTATGCGGACAGGGACTTCCATTTCTCAATGAAAGCTTTACTGGGAACAGCTTTGTTTCTCCACAAGTGCCAGTATTGATACGGGTCGCAAGCTGAATCCCGCGGTATCTTTTGGTGTATTTTGCAGGTGTATGAATAATATCGTGTAAGTCGTTTGTCCAGGTCAAGTCTGGTCTAGTGTTTAAGCCAAACGTCATAGGTTAGGCTTATTTGCCTCAGTTTCCGAATAATGCAATACCGAACGCTAAGATGAGCCTGGAATGTCATTCATCTCCCGACTTTAGCTTAGTCCCCGGGCGAGAGACCCGGGGACAGGAGATGACCAACATTTCAGGCCAGGCGAAGATCGACCGCTCACGAATTCGCTTCGATAAATTGCTTTTTCAGAACATTGCTAAAAGAGAAGGACGTTTTTAAGTGAAAATAATTTTCTATTGATATTTGGCAAATTTATCTATCATATGCATTCCGTGAATACCCTGATTTCTATGCCCAGTAGGACCTCACGCTAGGTTGATGACATACATGCTAGAGTTACAGAAAAGCATTTTCTTGTCTAGAAATATTTCAATAATCTTTAATTGGAAACTCCGAATTTTAAACTAGACAAAACATTTCATTCTACAATGCTTCCAATCACAATTACGACATCGACCATCATACTTTAAAAAAAAAAAATAATAATCGTTAGCAAATCACAAGTTACGCGACTTTCTTCAACCTGCCGAATTGGAGAATCCTTGTTTACAATATTTGCCTCATTAGCATAAGTAATTCAGTTTCTGATGGAACTTCAAATAAATCAGCTCTGAATATTGAAAGGCCACAGTACGGTTGATTCCACCAATAAATATGAACCTGATGTATTGAATACCTTTTGCCAACACGGGTTTAAAAACTCAAAATTTTACAAAGAATGTATGCATGAGCTCATTAGCGCTTTTGCCACCCAGAAATTTTGCAGTGTTTGAAAGACAATTTCTCCTTGAATATTACACGCAAAGAGCTTAAAATCTCACCATGTATTAAGTTTCACTAGCTCTTTAGCTGCCTGGGGTCAATTCATATCTAACATGTTTCCTTCTGTACGCAAAGCCGTATGCAAATGAGCATAAATGTAAACAATGACGTCAGCATGAATCCCCCCATAGAATAACTTGATTTGAAGTAGTCCGGTTATGAACTTTATAATTAATTACAGGTAGCATAAATTAGTTATTTCTTCTGAAACTTAACTCCCTTGGCTACGACCACTGACCGAGGGCAAATAAACTTTAAGTAATTTATTCATTAATAATCTTTACACTTCTTGCCCGGGTTGTTAGAAAGGTGGACAACGTTATCCATCGGATAAATCACTATCCAGTGTATGGCGTGGTTTGTTTCATTGACAATTATCCACTGGATAGCGAATTATCCTGTGGGTAACGTTATCCACCTTTTGAACAACTGGAGCTTTGTGTTTAAGTGATTTCTAGGTAAATTTCTCTCTATATATTATCTTAAGGGTGAGGGACCAAGCTTACAGGACCGGACACCGTCTTTACAAGAAACACGAAGGAACAAAAACTTACAGCAAGTCCACTTTATAAGTAGTTTTAATTTACACGTTTAAAGCAAAGAAAACCAAAATAATATGAACATGCATAAAGTAATAAAATAGGTGAACTAAAGAAATAAAACGAACTGAGTGAAGTAAAGGTTAAGTAAAATGAATGAGAAGTAGATAATATAAGTAATCACTGTTATATTCCAAAATGTTATAGATGTAGTATTTCGTTAAAACAATAAAGAAGTGCATACAGAGATCAAAGTTATTTGTTTGCTTATATGTAATGAATATTGTGTGCCTGTAGACTACGGACTATATGAACTCTCCATATAAGTTCTTTAATTCAACGGGCAAGGGTGTCGCATGTGAAGCCACAACCATGGACAAATTTTATGGGAAATTGCGCAAAAACATGAGATCATAACCGTAAAACCTACAGAATAAGTATCAGGACCCCCATGCCCCCTTTAAATGTTGGAAAATGGTAAAATGCAAACTTGTGTCAGATAAAAGTGTTTTGTCAACATTACACAGGGGTGGGGGAAGGCAAAAAGCGTATAGACTGAATTATTCTAACCCTTGTGACCAAGGTTGTAGGTGAGTGACATGATACACATTCGACTAGCCACCACCAAAAATAAGTTAAACATAGTTATGGGAACGGAGAGATAGAGGGGTATTCTGTCTAAACAGTGACCCTCTCTTTTCCTTGCAAAAAGGTACCACGTTTAATGCATGTTCGATTCTAACTGAAGCAAAGCGTTCTATAGTATCAAATTCACTTGCAAGTGAATGCAAGCGAGCGAGTGCATTTTTTTGTTCATTGAGAAGCTAGCTTACGCAAAGTGGAGAAAAGTACCTTTTACCAGTTTCCATACTACATATGTGCATAATTTGGGCATATAAAAAAGAAAAATGACAGGCACTTCACAATTACCAGAAACCGTCTTACACATAGCAGACGTAAGGATGTGATCATGCCTCAGTTTAGATGACTGCGTCAATGAGCGATAAAGTTGCACTAAGTCTTTTTAGAAATCGGTTGAATGATAACTGATTAACGATAAAAAAGGCACGACGTTTCCACCTCGCCGAGGTCATTTTCAAGTGCCAGTAAATATATTTCATTTGGTATTTTTTCTTTTAAATATTGTATTTAGATCTAGAATTTCTAAGAAAAGCGGGGCCTTGCGACTGGACAACGACAGGATTTCTAATAAAAATTAAACCACTCGCTTCTCCAGCGGGGTCTTTTTAGCAAGAAGCTGAAGCCGGAAACAGTAGGGTTTGTTGAAGAAAGCATTTTGGGAACTGAGAATTATACTTGTGCTCTTTCTACTTGGTATTACTAAATAGCACAAAGAAAATACGCGGGCTGATTAGTTTAAAATCGTGTTTTGGGTGCGGGTGCGGCTCTTGTTTTGTTTATTTAAATTTTGATTTAAAAAAAA